CCCGTCAGCAGAGTTACATCTCAACCTAATGTTTGGTTGTTTTGGTGGGTTTTTTTTTAAATAAACTGTTTTAAATACCTACTTCAGAGAGCCTGGACAGAGAGCTGTAGCTTTCCTCTCACTATCTAAATAAGGCCTCTAACAATGTTATCACTTTTCAAAACACATCTGTCCCGCAGCTCCTAGCCCAGACAATTGGCAGGTAACCAGTTAATAAATGTCTTCGCCAGACTGTTGAATAGGCTGGCCCCAGCTCAAGAGTGATGTCAGGGCCATTCAATGCACTATAATTGGAAAAACCTGGGAAAAGCAATCCCATGTTTTTTAATAAATAACGAGTGTATTAGCAGCCTCCTGCTTTTATTCACCATGGTGTCTACCTTGTTCGGTAGCAAAGTGAGATTTTTTTTTCCCACTGCCACTCATTCAGTGATTTCTACTTGGAATTTGATGCCAGTTTCCAGATGTGTCTCAGGACAGGAAGTCACCAATCAGCCTGGATAAAGCCTCTGGGATTAGCTACAGATCATCTTTTAACACACACATCCTTCCTGCACCCTCTCTTATGATACTGGGGCACACCCCTGGTGCCCAAAAATAAAACAAAACAATCCAGAGCCGAGCAAAAGCCCCCGACTAGGATGCTTTGATCATTTTCATATTGCATATGGGGGAATATAATTAATTAATTCAGTCCATCAAAGCCCCAGAGGCACCATTTGAGAGATCCTTACACCAGTGTTTACATACATAAATCACTTTAACAATTGCAGGGTCCCTGTCTGATGGAGCAGCTTCAGGCAAAGCTCATCTCCCACAGCTCCTCACCAGTGGCACCCGCAGGAGAGCATCAGCTCTCCAGCTCAGCCACAGAACACTGGAGGGGGATGAATCTTCCAAAGCACTTGCCCTCAGAGGAAGAAGTGAAGATGATAAATGAGTTTTCTGGGCTCTGTGTGAGCAACTTCAGGAAGCTAAAATTCAAGTGGGTGACGTGAAAGATGTGGTTTGCATGGAAAATAATCACAAGCAGAAGCACCCTGACAGCAACATGCCTGTCAAACCTCCCTGCACCCCTGAGAAATGAACCACCCAGATTTCCCAGTCAGGAGGAAAGGGGCTTAGCCCCACACAGCCAGGCTCCACACTTCCCCCAGCCACGTGGTACCGTCTGCTGCAGGATGGGGTGGTTGGGGGGAGGAATCCTAGCCCAAGGGGACACAATTACTGAATCACTAACAAAATAATTTATTTTTTTCTCCCCCAGGCATTTAAGAAGCTGCTGTCAGGCCCCTTTCACTCGTGTTGTGATTCCTTTCATCTCTCCATCAAAGCACAGCCAAATTAACACCAGCCCTCCTCCCAGTGACCGCCCCCCATGCGCTCCCACAGCCACTCAGCTTTAACAGGGCACCTGGGAGCCACTGCCAAAACAGGAAAGCAGGCGCCTAATTGAAAGGGAGTTTTTGGGAGTCACCCTACACAAAAATTAGCAGAGATATGCTAGGAAAATAAAAGAGTGGGCATTAACGGAGAGCTTATCTTCTTTTTCCGTGACTCTAATGTTCGGGACATGAAAAGGCCAAAAAGTTTCACATACTGTTCTAAGGAGCTGGTCAGGGATAGGAGCATCCTCTCTCCTCCTCCCAAAATAACTTGGGCTGATTTTGAGGTATGGACTTCCAGAATTAAAACGCAGAGGTATACAAGCCAAAAATCCCTGTGTTGCTACTGTGAACATTTGTAGCAAGTGCTGGGTCTTGGTTATGGGTTGAAAAGTCCAGCACTGACTGATTTCAATTCACCTGTGTTAGGTTTGGTAGGAACACTGGCTTGTGCCTAGGTAGAAAGAATATGGATGTTTTCTGTATGAAGGAAGGAGCATGGGGGTCTCTGTTTATGGCCTGAACTTTGAGTGGCCAGAGACAGCTCAATGATGCTGGTTTTCAGACAGAGCATGGAGCTCCTCTGGTCGCTACCCACCCTTGGCTGAGATCCCAGCTTGGGACTGTGACCCAGCCCCAGGGGAAGTGCCAACTGGAGCCAAGGGAGGATTTAGGATTAACTCCAAAACATCAGCCAGTCCCCACCCCATCCTGTGGGCAGCCTGTGGAAAGGAGCAAAGCCCTCGGGGCCAGACAGAGGGACAGGGCAGGCTGGCAGGGAGCCAGCAGTCCCAGCGGGGTCAGCAGCATCTGGAGAAGCAACCCAGAGCACTCCCTGTCTGCTGGAGCTGCTCAGCTCCTCCAGTCCCAGCTCCGGGCTGCAGGAGCCCGGCTGGCTTTGGAGCGGGAGCAAGCCACGGCAAGAGAGAGGAAAAAAAGGAGAAAAAGCAGCGGGAAGCCCTGCTGAGAAGCCCCCTTTTGTGTAAACATGCTCCGTCCTCAGACTAAAAATAAAGGCAAACCACAGGAAGGGAGTGAGTGCTTGGACAATATCCGATTTGGTGTGTGCCTGGGTGTGAGCTGCGGGAACAGGGAGAAGAGCAGGGGACTCCACCCAGAGCAACCACACAAAGGCAGCCGGTTAAGACCTTCAAGATGGACAGGCATTCCTGGAGATTATTTAAATCCAAATAACTGCTGCTTGGCAGATGTGCGGCCCTTTGGTATGTGCGCAGCACTTGGAAATGCTAAGTGAGAGAAAAGGCTGCCATGGCAGGAGCAGGAAAGGCAGGATGATGGCACACGGCCCATTTTACAGGTTCAGAGACTGTGGCCTGAGGCTGTGAACTGAAAGCCCATAAACCTGCCATAAAACAAGGACACAACCCAGAAAAGATGTCAGCTGAAATCCAGCTCACAGGTCTGTCCTCAAAAACTACCTCTCCCTGCACTCTCAGTCCCCGCTGCAGCCACAGAACCACACTCAAAAAAACCACATGCTTGTGAGGGTTGTGGAGAGATGATCAGTGGACTGCCTACCCCAAAAGGATCCCAAATGCTTCCCCAGGTGCTGGGCTTCGATGCATTGCACCCCACCATTGCCATCAGATGTCTCCCGAGGATGGAGCTTCACTGACACCTGCACATCCCACCTGCAGCCTTCTTGCAGGAGGGATGGTTTGCTGGTGGGGGCAATTGCACTGGAGAGAAGCATCCATCCATCCACACAGCGTGAGGAGGCTCCTCGGAGCCCAGCACTCACCGTTGGTGCTGACACACCACTCAGAGGCCTTCTGGGGAAATGCAGGACTCGGGAGGATCCCACCGCCCAGCCTGGAGGGAAATGCACTCTCACCGGGAAGCGGCCTGTGAAAGCAGAGGAACCCACAGCTCTCCCCTGCCAGCCGTATGGCTGCAGGTCCCACTGGATGGGCAGCACCGCTCTGGGGTACTTGCATTTGGGGCTTGGATCTGGCCACCATCAGCCCGATGTCCTTCCACCCACCGGAAACCCTCCTCTCTTTGGTCAGCCGTGGCTAAACTGCAGCATCTGCAATGCTCAGCCACCTCGTTTCCCTTCCTTTCTCTATTTTCTGTCAGAAGAAAATGACATAGTGCTCACCAGTGGAGGAAATCAAAGACAACTATGTTGACCTCAACTTGGGCATGTTTCCTGCTGACGTCTGTATTCATCTAATTCTCGCCTCCTGGGGCCACGTTCACTTTCCTACCATCAGGCCTCACCTTGAGTATTCATTTTTCTCTACAATTAGAAAAGTCTCCTATAAGCACAACCAAAGTGCAAAACCACTCCATTTACTTTAGAAAACAACTTCCAATGAAACACAGCTGTTTGGAACAGGTCATTTGCTTTCTCCGCGAAACAGGCCACAGCAACAACCGTCCTCGCTTCATTTTCATTCACAAGCACTGCTGAAACTTTCACAGGCTTTCATTTGGGGCATTTCTTACATGCTAAATATAAAGTGCAAGTGTCTTTCCATAAGGCTCTGTCTTACAGGGGAGCAGCTGCTTCTGTCCCCGTGCCACATCGTCCTCACACACGTCCACCAGCAGCACGAAATAAAATGGCAGCATGAAGGACAGCTGTGCCATCAGTGCTACGGGTACCTACGTGACTCACCTCCTGCCACCTGGCTCAGCAGCTGGATCATAGCTGTCAATCAAAACTCAAGAGCTTTCCTTTTAAACTCACTTCAGCAGGTCACTTGCAACCCCCCCCTCAAGGTGCCGCCGGACACAGAGGAAGCCAAGAAAAAGGTGACACCTTCTGTTTACTCAGCTAATTACACTTATTGCTGGAGTGGTTGCTGCAGTTCTTGAGGGCTGCTTCCACAGCAACAACCCACGTCTTGAGTTGTGTTTCCCACTGAACACCTCTTGGGGATGCAGATAGAGGGGAAGGGGGCTTGAGGTGTGAGCAGGGCTGCACTGAACCTCTGCCTTGCCCAAGCTGGAGCCGTCACTGCAAGCTAAACTCAGTCTGGGAAAAGTTAACAGGAGAACTCACACTCACAGCTCCTTGAAACCCAAGCAGTCACCTGCCCTCACTCAGCTCCCTCCTCAGCTCCCCAGCATGACCCTGGACAGCAGATCCAGTGGTGTGCAGCCCAGGGCCAGCACTGGTGGCTCAGCCAGCACAGCTCAGCACAGGCAGGGTCTAAGTGACCTCAGAGGTCTCCAGGAGAAAATCTTCTTATCTCAAAGTCACAATCCTCCGTTTTCATGGGCACCGTGCTTAATGCCGAGTTAGGCAGCAGAAGGCAACAAAAAGCAACTGCAAACACAGATGCTCTCTGTTGTTAGAAAATCTCTGACTGCAGTACAAGTATAAGAAGCACACACATTGATAGCTGAATTCCTGAGGTTAAACACCTAAATTATAAGACATCTTCAGTCCTGCTCTGGAAGTACTTACTCCTTGTAAAATTATTGGTTGCTTCTAAAAGATCAGTACCAAAGGACAGGGGATACATCTGGAAGCTCTGAACTCTACCTCTGCCCAAGTGTGTGTAACTTCACGCACACATGTAATGAGAAAACCACAGGGAATTAACACCTCCTGACCCCAATGCAATAAACCCCCAGTTTTACCTGGATCAAGATGTGTAAAGGACCCAATGACAAAGTCCAGTGTTGAGACAGCCAGCAGGAAGAGCAGCAGGAGCTGGAGCCTGATGATCCACTTCACCCCAGCCAGGTTGATCCCCTGCAGGCCAAACAGGACAGCCAGGGAGATCCCACGCACTGCCCAGATGTTGCTGAGGCTCAGGACATCTGCAATGGACTCTGCAAAGCCAGTGATGTACATGGCACCTGCAACACACTGAGGGACAGGGCTCTGGGAGTGCTCCATGGCAGAAAAAGGGATCCCCATGCCGGGCTGTGGGGATCCCTGTTCAGACAGACAGACATTTGCAGTCACAATACAACCCTTTTGATGTTACTCTGGCCTAGAGGGATTGAACCTTATTGCTGTAGGACAGCACACTGCCAGGGCAGCATAGCTAAAGCCCAAGCAAACAGAGAAGGCTGGGTGCTAGGGCCAGCCCCGCAGCAACATTCCACTGGCTTTAAAATTTACCCTCCATTAACACTCCAGGAGAAACCACACTGGCTTCTCTGAGTGAGAAAGGGATGAGTCAACCTCTATGTCTCCTCTCTTCTTCTGCTTCCTCTGGAGGAAAGGGTCCCAGTTCAACACCTGCCTGAAGAACTGCAGTTTGTTTGCCCCTTCATTGCCTCCCAGGGGTTATTTTTAACTCCATGTTTAGTTTGGACGTAAAAAAAAGATGCTTCACTGGCTCCCCATCTCGTTGCTGGAGCAGAGCCTGCACTTTTCAGAAGAGCACATTGTGCAAGCTGTGCCACCCCCCACAAGCTCCAGGGAAAGCTGCCTGTTTGTCTTGCAGCAGGGCAGGACACGCATTCTGCCCGGGGTGGCTGAGAGTCGGCAGGACAGGACATCTGCAGCGCAGGCTCGGGCCTCAAACCCCACTGCGGGGCAGCAATCTGAAATACCAGGACATTTCCTTCTAGAGGTTCCCACTAGCTGACACTTCAGCAACAACCCTTTCCTGTGTGTGGCATCCCTGGAAAAACAGGTCAGGGTTTTCTGACGTGCTGACATGGGTGGTATGAGCTTGGGTCCTGCAACCCCTCTATCCCTGTCCATGAATGAGGGGATGTGCAGCACAGCTCCCACATGCCTGGAAGGGACAAAACCCCCACCCAAGACAGCAAGAGCAGAGCAGGCCCCTCATTCACTGCAGATCCCCCACCTTGGACAGACCCAGCACTGCTCCACTGAGGGTGTGCAGGACCACTTGGCCCTACCCAGGAGATGCAGGATATCCACCTGTCCAGACTCAGATACCTACACCTTGGACATCCTGAAGGATTCAATTCCCTCACAGGCAGACAACTAGCACAGATTGGTGGAACTACACCCTGAGTCTCTCTGCATCAGCAGCATGTGGCCAGGCATTCCCCACTTGCCCCACTCAGAGTAGGGAATAGGGAATACCCCATTTCTGGCTGGGCTTGTCTGACGACAGAAGTTACAGCACTCCAAGAGCGTCTCATACCGGGGAGCAGCCTGAAGCCGGTGCAAAGCACGTTGGACAAAAAGCACGGCCAAGAAGGGAAAGGCATCAGGTTTTGGGAGCAAGCAAAGTGTTCTTAAGCGAGTTGCCAGCTCCCACCCCACACCCCCCGTGCACGTGGGATGCCTACGCAGGGGCCGGGGCTGCTGCAGCCCAGCTTTTATGACCCTCAGGACAGGCTGCAACCTGATTGCTTTCCCAGACAGCGAGAGTGGAAAATATGACAGGAAGGATTCTCATGTGTGGCCCATTTCCATATCTTGGCTTGTAACTAGGTTCGGTTTGTATTTTATGGACACTTGCTTTTAATCTGGAGCAAAAGGAGAAGGGGGGATTATTTTTGGTTTGGGGGTTATTAAGGGGTTTTGGAGATTGCTGTAAGCCAGTCAGTTAAAAACAAACCTCCATAAAAATGCTTCTCTGCTCACCACATTTTATACTGTTCGTAAGGTCTTTATAGGGGGAGGGGGTTAAGTTACTGCAGGTTTAAGAGATTATTTTCCATTCTTTATGTGCACTACTTGTGAATTTTGGTGCTTCACCATCAAGAAAGCTCCTTGGGATCTTTCAGAAAATCCAGAACTGTGACTTTTGGCTCACAAGAAGTCAATTAGCTGTGGCACTTACCACTGCCCAGCCCTCCTCCCACACCAGCTCCACTTCTGCTGGCTCCTGCAGAGAAGCAGCCAAGGCTTGCCCAGTCCCTAAGGGCATGGGGAGCACACCAAGGCCAACCTGCCAGCCCACAGCTGCTCACTGAGCTTTAAGTGGCCACCCTGACCTCTCCCACTTTGGTTTAATTTCAGCAAGGGCATGTCCTGGCAATGGGGCTAATTTGGGATGGGAGAGCACGTCCTGAGCAGCTTGTTCAGACACACAGCTCCTCTACCATTGTGACCCACATCAGGCAGCACATTGTCATGCACAAGCTTACTCCTGAGGAGCAGAGTGGGGTTGAAAGCTCCCTGTGGTGGCCTCCCATGTTGCTCAGCATAGTGGAGCATTACCCAGATTTTACCTGGAGCATTACTTCCTGTGGCAGGAAAGCACAAGATTAATACCTCCATCACAAAGTTTCAAAATTTTCTTTAAACAACTTTTTTTAATTACCTGGCCAAAAATGTAAAGGATGCCAATGGTCCCTGCTATTTGACCTCCAAGGACAGTAGAAATCATGGAGTAGACTCCTCCACTTCCAATGCTGCACTTTTCACACACCCCAATTCCAGACAAGACTGTCACCAGGGCAACCAGGATGACAAAGGACACTAGAAACATGCCCATTACAATGCCAGTGTTTCCCTGAAATGAAAAAAAAATAATCAGATAAAGATCAATTCACACCAACTCTGCTGAGACAGAGAAACAACCTACCTGGTTCTAGTCACTAGTGATGTATGAATCTGGAGTCATTACAGATTAAAAGAAATGCACACAGGCATCCCTAATTGTCTAATTAACATAACTGCTTGCCAAGTTTACAGTTCCTATTAGCAACCCTTTGATGAAAACCTGTCTCAGCCTGGGGTTCGGCAGACCTTTACCTGAGCAGGTTCTGCTCTGTCACAGAATCTCACGGAATATGCTGAGTTGGAAGGGACCCACAGGACTACCATGTCCAACTTTCAGCCCTGCACAGGACTTCTCCGTGAATCACTCATTTTGTCCTCTGGCTTAAAAGGAATGAGGTCAAACAATGATTCAGCCATCATAGGCAGGGGATCACCACCTATTTGCATGCTTAAAAATGACATGCTTAAAAAAAAAAACCACAAACCAATTTAATAACAAAAAGTAGTTTCAAAATTGAACACCTGGGATTTGCAACAGCTGATTTATGAAGAGCATCAAGCTTGTATTTTAATTTTTCAGAATATTTACCTCTGAAAGCTCTGATCCTCCCAAATAGTGAGATGAGAGAGTAAAACCCCAAAGGCACCACAGCGTGGAAGATAAATAACAGCCTCGTAAACCAGCGTGTGCCAGCCCTTATCTGAGGGACGTACACAGAGTGACAGGTGGCTCTCACCCTCCCTGGACTCAGGGGAGTTTTGTGCACAGGATTCAGCCCTGCTGAAAAAAAATCAGCCCTTCCTGCTTGTGGCAGAGGGAGGGCCCCGGGAGGAGCTGCTGCACCAGCCACGATCTCAGTATGGGGTGTAGAGCAAAAGCCTCTGAACAAACACAGCTGCAGGTCCCTGTTGGCAGCATTAAGGGCCAGCATAACCCCTTTTTGGGGGGTGTTCAGTTTGCCATTTAGAGCTGGATTTTCAGAAGGAGAAGGTGCTTAGCATGTCCAAAAGCATTTAAGGAGCTCTTCTGAGCTCAGGACCCTCCCACCCTCTTGCACACGGCTGTAATTTCTTTTCCAGGGTGAGAAGTTTTCCCTCGTGCTCCAGCCCACCTTCCTCTGCTGACAAATCACTCAGACCAGTGCACAGCGATCCGAAATCTCCTCCAGTGCCCAGTGCTTCGTTAAGGTCTGGCTTCCCTTCCCTGCCTTTACTCATATTACAGGCCATGTCCACATCCCCCCTTTCCAACCTTGCTCCAGCTGCGCTCATCTCTGAGGTCACGCTAGCCATGATGGGGTTTGTTTATCACCAGCACTAAAAGGCTGCCTCCCTGCTCTGGGGTTGGTTGAAATCTCGGATTATTTTTTTTTCTTTTCTCTTTTTTGTGAAAAAACAGAAATACATCCAGGATGTTGCTATCATCATAAAATCCTATTTTGGTTCAGCATCCTGCTGCCTTTGACAGGGGTGTTATCTGGTCAGTGGGGAACAGAGCCAAGGTTTGCTATAAATGCAGCAAAAACGCAGCTGTGGCTGGGTCAGCACCACAGCCCACTCCAACCCCATACTCCTTTTTAAAAGGACAATTGTTCTTTTTTTTCAACTGCTTACCCTCAGGTTAAAGGGTTAATAAATCTGAAACGCTTCAGTTAAAAAAAAAAAAAAGAGAGAAAAAAAAAGGCAAAAATATGCAAACGTTCACATAGCCTTGGGCTTTTTGAGAAAATGCTGGTGGCACCAGGCTATGCCAGCAGCTAGTTAATGGGCAATCCAATGGTTTCCAAAGAAGAAAGGGTTAACATCAAGACCAAGGAGGAAGGCTGGACTCACAGCAACAATAGCAAGCAGAGAAAGTGGGAAGAGAAAGCCCCCATTAAATGCTGATGTTTATTTATGCATGCGTGCCAGAAGGGGTTAGTGCAGCAACTATCCTTGTTGAACATTTCAGCAAGATTAGGGTCCCCTGCAACTGCAAAGCTTCAACAGCCCGGGCTCCAGCCCTGGAAATTTATAGCAAAAGCCTCTGTCCTCTGCCAGGGGAGCTCTCTGCCAACGCTGGTTTCTCCTCCCTTCCTTTTCACGCTAACTTCCAGCTGGTTCAGTTTTTCTTTTATTTACTGGATTTATTTTTATCTGTGTCTGGTCCAGCAATAACTCACTTTCAAAGAAGATGTGGAGGAAATAAAATCAGAAGGAAAAGGAAGGTAGAAAATCATCCCGACTTCTCCAACACGATGACTGCGGCTCCCCTCAACACCTCCAGAGAAGTAATTTTCAATACAGAGTGCAAGTGTCTTCCTGCTCCTTTTGGAAGGTGTTCACCATGCCTGTGACATGAACTCTGCCTGAAGCTCAAATCCTATCCATCCCTGGGGGAGCTTTCCTTCTTCTAAGAGGAAATTTTAAGGTACAGTACAACGCTTTTCATCAGGAGGGGAGCAGAGACACTCTTCCAGGCTCTGACCCTCAGTAAGATATTATTCTTGACCCAGATCTGAAATTCTCTTTGATAGCAATGACAGTTTCAACTGACTGAGGACTCTGTTCCAGAAATCAGGGACTCCATCACTGACACATTTAGAAGAGACCTGCTCCAGTGGTGTTAGGAACACGGCTGAGTAGCTGTAACTACGGCGATACATTTCACCTGAAAAGTGGTTATTTTGTCTCGACAATACAACACATGGATGTCCCTGTTCATTGTCAAGGTTGGTTGTTGTGTTTTTCTTTTTCTTTCTGAAAGCTAAAATAGGAAACCACTTAGAAAAACCACTTCAGCTTTACATTTTACCAGACCTTCTTGCAAAGCTACAAAATACCAGGGGTCATAAGCAATGTTTACAACAAACAGCCCAGAACCCAAAACACTTGAGTGGTGATGAATATATAAAGTAAGGAGGTGTGAAGGAAAATGTCTATTCAAACGTCCAACCAAGTCACTCACCACGAGCCATCCTGTCCTCAGAAAAAGAACCACTCCAAAAATGTTGATCATGCAGGAGGTGAAGACACCATCCCATGTTCCAAAAAGCACCGGCTCCCATACAAACAGCTGGATCTTCCACCAGGGCTTGGTCTGCGTTTGAGATACCTAGAAAAAGCAAAGCCTTGGTTTTACCTCTCATGATTTATGGGCAGGCTGCAGAAGTGGTGCCACAGCCAGCCACCAACAGTGGGACAGCCACCAACAGCTGCTAAGGCAGCCCTTTGCTGCAAGCTGCCTCCAAGATAAGAGGGCAGCAGAATTGTTGGGATCCCTGAGGCCCTGAAAGAGAGTGTTCCCTGAAGTACCCTATTTATATTCTTGTAGGATAAGCAGCAACAGAATCCCATTCAGGCTCAGTGAATTAACCCCATCACATGAACCAAAACCACCATTCAAGGGTCCTTTACAGAGCCTGCAGCTATATTGAGCTTCTCCTCCTGTCCCTGCCAAACACCCCACCAAGGCAAGCAGGGTCCATGGTGCACTGGAGAAGTCTCTTAGAGGAGATGACAAATCAGGTAGGACCAGCTGGGACCAACAGAGTAGATTAAGATGGTCTTCCCATCACAGTCATCTCTGATCAGGTCACTTTGTTTCTAGAGGGGACACAGGACTCTGGTACTTGGGGGCACAGTGAATTTCAGAATTGCTGCAACTGAGACCTGAACCTCCAGGGAAATGATGGCTTTCCTATGGCAATTGCTCTCTCCTGCCCTCTGGAAATCAAGTCCCCTCTTTCCCTTTGTAAATAATAAACCTCAGATTTTCATATCAAAACGAAGGGCAGTGTCATTACTTTGGTCCTGTTCACTTCCCACAGAGGTGACCAGGAGGAGTGCAGAGACCATGGAGATGGAAATCTGGGAAAGGAAATAGCTCTCTGGCATACCTGCTGTGCTTCCTCATGGAAGAGCTCTTGGACATAACCCTCACTTTGGGGACCATTCAGGCTGAACATCATATCTTTCGTGTTGCCTCCACCTGCCCAATGTATGGCTCCAACACAACCAGAGGCGAGGCTGATCCAAGTGGAAGGTCAGCTATTCCTCTTGGTCAAATTCCTGAAATGCTGGATCCTCCATTGTAGCAGATTCATGGTTTTACTGCACTTTACTGTGAAAGCAGGAAAGACAGAAGACACAACTGCTGCTTTCTCAGTCTGCCAAAGCACAAGGCCATTACCCACACAGAATCGACAGCGGCTCTCAGCAGATGCTGAACCACAGAGGGACATCACACCAAGCAGAGAGCAATGCTCCCCCAGCACCTCCCAGGGCCTGCTCCTGGCACAGGCTCTACCACTAGTCCTACACTGAACAACCCTTTGTGGCCTTTCCCGAATCTATCCACGCCCCTGGCGTCCCCAGCATCCTGTAGCACTTTGCCGTGTGTGTTGCCTGCAAAATGAATTTCCTCTCATTGGTTTTAAATCTGGTGCCTGGTAAGTTCATTGCATGGCCCCGTCCTCCAGTGACAGAGGACACATGGATTATTTACTTCCCAGCACCACCAATCATTTCACAGCCTTGATCACATCTCCTCCAGCTGTACCTTTTGCAGACTGAGGTCTTGCCAATGTAACCTTGCCCCTGAGAAGTGAGTTACCTCACTCTGCCCCTCTCCCAGCATGATGTAGAGAAGGAACTGGAGCAGTAGAAGGTGTCCACCACCACTGACTCACACTCTACATTCCTGATGCTCTCAGGCATCCCCTGTACTGATGCACAGGAGCCTTTTTTCAGTCACACCCACCCTTGGAGGTACAGTCTTGTCTGCAGTGGCCCAGCTTCAGACTCCTACTTGTCACAGGCAGACTCTGGTAGAAACAACACCATGTATGTAAGCAAGAAAGCAGCATCAGGCTTCAGGGGTAACTAACCCCATCTTTAGAGAAGGGAAAGCTAGCACAAGCATTTCTCTGCCTTGAAATTGCTGGTTCCTTCTCTCATCAGTTTGTCTTTAAATTCTCTCTCCAATAATAGAGAGGTACTTTTGTACACCTCCCTCCAGCTGGCTGCAAGTCTTACCTTCCCCAAAATTTTCTTGTGAGGGCTATTAACCAGTCACCCACAGCCTCCCACACCAGCTGTCAACAGAGCTTTTTTGGCCATTCCTCAGTACAGCTACACCATGCCTAGGCAAGACAAAGAGGGCTGCAGCCAGAGAGGAGCAAGACATGCTCCATGACTGTGGAGAGGGCAGTGTGTCTGGACCACTGGCTCTCCTGGGAATGGTAAGTATCCTGGCCAGCTGAGCTCACATGCACACAAGAACCAACCATGACCACAGAAGGCTTGTACCAATGGCTGGACATCTTACCTGAGACCAGACACCGAATTAATTGCAGGCACAGTGTAGGAATCTCTGACTCCTCAAGCTTGCAAACTGTGGAGACAAAGCAACCCACAGAAACGTGCTTTTCTTATTGCACAGGGGCAGAGACATGCAGACACTACAGGATTTCTGTACCAGTCTGAATCCCAGCTCCCAGATCAGCACTCTCACCATCCTGCCCTTATTACCCTACTTTGAAATACCCAGTAGTAATTAACCAAAGCAGACGCTGCTCCACCACTGTGTTTCAGCTGCAGAAGGTCTCCTACAGCTGGGGTACAATGGTCAGCACGGGAGGTTTTTCTTCACCCTGCCCATGTGGCCAGTTAAGCAGCACCAAATATGTAAGAGTTCATTGATTCCCTGCTGCTTCCTCCACATTTTTTGAAGCAAATAACCCCTCACAATATCACAAATGGTTGCTGTTACAGGGAGATTGGGGCTTCAAGCAGGGCAAAAGCAGCAGGAGCATGTAAACTCCAAAGAAACAGAGCTCGTGTTTTTATGCAAATAGCCACAGTAATAAAGTATGGAAGAAAATACACAATGTGAAACAAGATTAAAACTGAATAACCATATTCTCCTAAGATTCCCCGGTGCAGCCCTTCCTCAACAGAGACTTCACTCAGTAAAGCATTCACTGGGGCCATCCAAACTCCAGTCTGCCACAACAGTCCTGGCTGGATGCAGGAAAACAGGGAGGCTGCAGCCTTGCAACCCCTTGCTCTCCTAAACCACTGCACCAAGGGACCCCAGGAGGGGATGGCCCTGACCCCTTGCAGTAGCTCAGAGTGGCTGAAACCACTCACTCAGTCACTTACCCAACGTGTAACCATGGATAGGTTTGATACACCCTATTACCCATCTGAAACTTGCAAAATACAGAAAGAAGGGCTGCACGAGTGGATTTCAGACCTGAAGCACACCTTGCAAGACATGTTACCTTCCTAGACATTTAAATCCCCTTATCCCACCATTTTCTTCCTTTTTCTCTGCATTAACACCTATCTTCTGCCCTTTGCTCTGGAGCCCTCTCTGTTCAGCCCTGCTCCGGCTCACCTTGGTGAAAGATCTTTCTCCTCCACAGTCGCAGCAAATTGCCTCTCCAGTATTGCTCCTCTGTGGCATTTCCAACTGCCTAAAATCTTATTACTCAATTCTGTAATTATTTACATGTCTCCACAACACATGGGTCCTTTCATCCCTACGAGGTAACCGAAGCAAACACAGGAGGGGGCACAAAGCACAGAAGTGAGAGCTAAACAAACATGCCAGGACGGCCGCTGCCCACGCAGCCACAACCTGATCCATGCAACATGCACGTATTTTTTGCAATTCAGGGTCTGCAAGTGGAAAGTCCTCGGGGCAGGAGCCCCCCTCTTGCCCCATGCAGTGCTCTACCAGCATAGTGTGGTTCCTAAGTCGCTGCACAGCACAGCGATGTTTTCATGCAGTATTATCTATCCAGGTCACCAACCCTGAGGAAGCTTTCTCTGCTATGCACACCAGCAGGCCAAATAAACCAAACAGGCACAATTTAATATAAGTGAGCCTCTAACTTGGGAGATAATTGATGTTATTTTTTCCTAAAGTTCCTGCCAAATACACTTACCAGTCTATAAATTAAAGAAGAACGGCTGTTTTAATCTTTCCATACCATTTAGCATTCAAGAGAGCAGAAGAGCATTAGCAAACCTTGCAGAAACATTACAAAGGCTCATCTCCTTTTCTGCAACGCTTCTATATTTAATTACAAACCCAGATTCCTATAGATCAAATTTCTGTGCCCTCCACATCTTTTCAAAGCACTATTTTATTAATCATCACATTAAAGCTATTTCTGAGCTAAGCGTCGCTGCTCTGAGCTACTCAACAGCTGGCTGATTTTTAAGAGGAAAGGTTAACGCCTTCCCAAGCACAGCTGCGTGTGGTCCCACGACCTCCGAAGGCTCTGTCCTTGCCAAAGGAGGTAATTCCAAAGCCTCCCTCCCTCAAGGGACCCAGCAGCCAACAGCACTTTAGTTTTAATAAATCCCCCCAACTCTTCTCCAGGTCAGGTTCTTAACAACACCTAATTTAGGCGACTCCGTGGAAGGCGGGAATTACAGGGAAATAAAGCAGCCACCAATGCAACAAAGGTAACCCCGCACAGAGCGGCTATTCCCAGTTATTCATTTACTGCACCAGCTCGTTTTGTTTTCACATATCTTTGTAGTGTAACGAAAGCTGTGGAACAACAGAGCTGGGGAAACAAGCCCGGGCTCTCCCCAGCAACTTCAATTTCCCGGTGTGGTCGGACGGCTTCGGTTTTGCAGAGGGCGCGGCGTTGCCATCACCTCCCTGCCAAGAGCTGCGGCCACCGCTGCACCGGGCTGCCCAGCCTGCCCAGAGAGCGCTCCAAGTACCTGTTCCCTCTTCTTCTTCTTTTTTTTTGAGAGTTTTCCCTTCCCCCCCCCTTACTTATTTATTCTTTCCTTTTCTCTTTTGTCCTTTTTTTAACCTTTTTTCCCTCTTTTTCTTTTTTTAACCTTTTTTGGTTTTTTTTACTCCCCCCACCCCTTTCATTTGCCTTTTTTTTTTTTTTTAACTTTTGCCTTTCTTGGGCCTCTTTTCCACCTATTTTTTTTCCCCCCCCATGGCTTTAATTCCTTAGCTTCCCTTTCCCCCCGTTCACCTCCCCGCCTCCGCAGCGCCGCGGCCGGAGGGACCAGCGGGCAAAGCACCGCCTGCGCCGTCCCCGGGGTGCCCCCATCGCCCAGGTTTGTGCCCCCCCGGCCCGGGGGTGTCCCCGCCGCCCCGGCCCCACTCACCTGGCGGCTCCCGGACCCTCCCTCCCTCCTTCCCGCGGCGCCGCCTCCCGCCGGGGCGGCCCCGGGCGCTGCCACGTCTGCCCGGGCACCGCGCCCGCCCCCGCGCCTGCATCTGCATCTGCCGGGCTCGGGCAGGTCCCACCCGCGCCCGCGGGGACCACGCCGGGTGGGTGCTGCTTCCCGGAGCACCGAGATCCCGCAGCGCCCGCGGCGGCGGCACGGGCATGGCAGAGTGCGGGGAAACTAATGCGGGTTTAGGAGCAGACTTCCACTAAACCTGCAATCTCAGGAGTCTGATAAAAAATAAAAAACAGATAACCAAATCCATACAGCTGCTCGGTTGCAGCAGGAGGAAACGCTTGGCCACAAGGAAAGGCGACTCTGATTCTGCACATCCCGGACTCGATAGGAACCCGCTCCAATGTAACTTACCAGCCTTGGGCTGCCAAGAAATCCTGTGACCCTGCATAGGCAAAACTCCACCTGAATTAAAGGCACGAATTTTGGATAGTCATGATGTTAACAGGATCAAATCTAGAGCCAGCCACCTTTCCTTACAGCTCATGCAGCATTCACAGATTTCATTTACTTCTAAAATGTGTTAGAGCCATTTTAATTTTCAATAAAGTACCCACAAAAGACATCCATGTAGTCTAGTGAACCCACTTTGATTTTCCAGAGTGTCCTGCAGAGGCAAAGTGTAAACAAGTTTTCACTCTTGGATGGAAACAGCAAGGACGAGCAAGTGGTAGAAAGGAAATGAAGAGTTCAGAGAAGACAGATGACTTCTCAAAGGAGGATGAAGCCTGAGGAAATCATAGAATCACAGAACGGTTTGAGTTCAAGGGGATCTTAAAGATCATCCAGTTCCAACCCCCGTGCTATGGGCAGGGACACCTTCCACTATCCCAGGTGGCTCAGAGCTGCATCCAACCTGGCCTTGAACACATCCAGGGATGGGGCATCCACAGCTTCTCTGGGCAACCTGTGCCAGTGTCTCACCACCCTTACAGGGGTGAATTTCTTTCTTATATCTGATCTAAACCTGCCCTCCTTCAGTTTGAAGCCATTCCCCCCTTGTCCTGTCATTACATGTTCTTGAAAATAGTTTCTCTTCATCTTTCTTATAGGCTCCCTTCAGGTCCTGCAAGTGGGTATCTCCCCAGGACATACCATTCCTGGAATATTTTGGAAGCTCTCCTCCAGTTTCCTTTCTACACTCTGTACAACTACCAGGGAACAGGTTCAGCCAGATTCTCCTATCTTGAGGGCCAGTGCAAAATCTGAAATAAGAATGTTTGATTTGTTGCAGAACTGATGAAGAGTCACTAATTCCCTGAGGACCAAGCCCTGTCACCTTCCTGCAGGCATATTTGCCCCTACACACATGTGCACACAAGGCAAGTGGTAAAGAAGTTTCTTGAGCCAGTTGCCACAGCCCCTCCCCACTGCTGAACACTTCTTTGGGAAATCCTGCCTCCTCACTGGAAAGAACTACAGCTGAATTCCAGCAAAAGGTATTTGCAAGGACCGTATTGACACACACAGAAATCACCACGCACTGCTGCTAAGAAGCACTTTCAGAAGTGGCCAGTGTTGATCTCTGTCTGCTCCTATTTAAGTCATGGCAATTTTCAACATTTTCCTTCTTGGCAAGAGAATCCTTGCAATAGAAGGATCATTCCTTCAGCAGGGCTGTGTGTGTTTTGGAGGAGCACTCTGCTTTTCCATACTCAGCACGTGAAGAAAACCGTAACTGGCATAAACTGTCCCATCTCCAAGGGCAATCAACCTGTCACATGCACAGCAGCTTGCTTTCTTTAAAGAACAGATTTTGAAAATAACAAGGTAGCACAAATGCAAGAGAAGTGGCTCTAACTTAGCTTCCTTTTAACAAATATGTGATGATGTGGAATGGTATAAATTCCCTCACTGCGTGCTCAGGATGGCTGCATGACTCACAGCTGGCTCAGCTACCAGCATCTTCATGTGGGCCTTCCTCCACACTGCTTCAGGGTCTACACCACCTTCCAGGAAAACCATCAGAAGCCATTTGAGGAAGTTTTTTAGAAGTCCCAACTAAAATTCTCTCTCATTATGCTGAGTACCTTAGCTCGACTAGGAATAAAAGGGGGGAAAAATGGAACTAAAAGTTAAAATTGTTTTATCCAAGTCCAGTTCTTGAGTGCTTTCAGGGCTATCAGTGGACACTGGAAGTTCCACATACCAGCTGGAATCCTTTCCCTCAAGTTACGTAGCTCCTCAGGACTGGTAGATGGACCATCCAGACTGGCAGACCCGTGTTATCAGACATCCTGAACTGTGATTTGAGAAGACTTTCTATAGTTCATATGGTGTCCGTGGAAATTTGTCCACGGAATGGAGTCTGGAGATGGATATAAGAGAGTGAAGAGGGTGGCAAAAGGTTATGTGGGATAAAACTGGTATGGGAACGCCACAGAGGTGTCAAAGATACAAACGTGGCTCACAGAAACAGGGAAAGTAGCAGCGCAGAGGTTGGTCAGCAAGAGATGTGAATCTGAAACACCCACAGGTCTGAGCCATCCTATGAAACGTGGAAAGGATTGATTCTTAGTAGGATGGATGTTAATTACCACCTACCTCATCACCATCTTCTTCAGCTGCCAGGCATACACATCTTACAACACAATAAACTGTGATTTCCATGTACACAGCACAAACTGTGAATAAACTACACAATATAGCTAATCACATTGCTTAATGACCTACAAACCCTAGATCAACAGTAAAACAGGCTGTGACATGTAGACTATGTTCCTAGACTAAATGAAGAGCCAGCCTTTTTCAATTAATTCATCGCTACAAACTGTAAAATACTTTGCCTTTCAAAAGGATTTGTACCTGATGTTGTTCAGTGTGTGTAACAGCAGTTATCAACATAGTACCTGACCATCACTACATCATTCTTGTTTCAATTCCTTAAAATGTATTTTCAGGAAACCACTCTGTGAGAGCCAACACTGCCAAATCACATTTCCACACCTGCTGTGGGGACTCACAGTGTCCTTACAGCTCATTTTCAAGTGGCTGCAACACCCATCACTCTAGCTATGTCTCTGACTAGGAGACTGATCAATCATCCTGTTCACTTTCCTTTAAGGTAACAAATGTTGTCTTAAAGAAAATCCCCCTTTCCGAGTCCTGGTTTGCACGAAAAGATAATTTTGTCCCACTGGTATCCTCGCGCTTGCTTATCCGTCTTTCTGAGCTGTAACTTTCTTAGGCTGTTCTCTCTATAATTAGCTTTGTAACAAAGATGATTTCAGGAACTGGCAAGAGAAATGGAAGAAAACACAGGACTTGAGAGAAAACAAACAAGTCATCCTTTCAGCTTCTGATGTCATCCTCTGCTTTGTTCTTACACAGCACTGCATGGTCGAGATTACCTCGCAGCTACCCTGAACATTCCCAGCACTCGCAGTTGTTGCTTTATCATCTCTCATGACTCAGTTTACCTTGTGGCAAGAAAGACTGATTAAAGAAGTGCTGCTCATGAAGACCTTTCAGAGTATAAAACATTATGAACAGTCATTATTCATATTACAACAGAGAAATATTTTTTATCACACTGTGAAAGAAATGGATCCTCTTCATTTCACTTAGGCCAGGCTAGTGCTTTTGATCTAACAGCAGTTACAAAAGCTTTGTTACTTCTGCCTCAGTGAAATGGCACTAATGATCACATCTGACCATCAGATTAAAAAAAATAAATTATATATAAATAAAAGTGAAAACTAACACATGTAACACTGCTTGCATTTCTGTAGCCAGGCTGGCTTACCTCTCTCAGACTGTGCATCTGAGAAGGTATCCAATCCTCTAAATGAAGGTAGCTATGTACAAGCTACTGCCAATGCACTGATCTACCTCAAAAGCTTGGTCTGGGACCAGGCACCCACATTTCTGGCCAAGAGGCTTGAAAGGCGCAGCCACTGGCCAAATAAAACCACACAAAGAGCGATGACACAGGAACATGTCTTGGCTCTCCTGTGGAAGACAGGCAGAGCTGCCCAGGGGGATGGACTCTACATGGAAAAAAACAACAGTGAACTGTACACCCAGCAATCATCCAGAAGTTCAAACACTGGAGGTAGGAACTGGATCACATGCTTTCTGCACCATGTGCATGGCTGCTGACACAGGCAAAAGGGATGTAGCTGCAAAAGACACATGCACACACATTTTAAAACAGAACCTCACCAAATCATCCTATTTAATTTCTGCCAGTGACTCAAACACGTATGCATTCGACTGCCTTTGAAATTGAAAAGCTGGAGCAGATGGTGCAGCAGGGACATCATCAGGAACCTGAAGACCAGCCCTGGTGTGACAGGGGAAGGACACTGCGGAGGAGGCAACTTACCTGAGCAACCAGGGCAGGGCTTCGGAAAACACGGCACACATGGGCTCCATTTTAACCCCCTATTCCAGTGGAGAGCTCTCTTCTTAAAACTCCATGTCTCGACAACTAAAGCAGACAAAAAAGCAAACAATATTCTATCGGAGACTATATTCTGTTGATTTGGCAAGTGCAG